TGTGTGTGTGTGTGTGTGTGTGTGTGTGTGTGTGTGTGTGTGTGTGTTTGCCAATACGGCTATCTCTGCCATCCTGACTATAACATAGTCAGGTCTTTCAGTGTTTGCGCAGGTCTAATACACTTTTTTTTATAATACAATAATCTTTTTCCAATATTAACATCTATTGCACTTTAAAATAACTATCTAAGATTTGAGACTAGATCGCTCTCAATACAGGACAAGCAACCAACATCCCATGATGCTCAGAACAAGCATATAGTATAATGACTACTGATGTGCTAGCATATACGATATCAGAATGCACAGCATCCCATGCCCTTCGATTCTCGAATCAACACACCACAATGCACACTGGACCTAGGATACCAATGTGCAGGATGCTGTTGTGTCTATCGAGACCTCCATTCACAAATCTTTTCGTCAGTTCACTATTCTATTTATACCATCTTTATCATTTTAGGGTTTGGCTCCTTCATTGGATGCCCCAGCCCCTTCAGATTAAATTTTGCGGGTTAGTACACACTTTTTTTTTAGGGTTTAGCTCCTTTTTGGATACTCCAGCCCTTTCTAATTACCTTTTTACAAATTAATACACACCTTATGATTTTTAAATCATCTTATAATTCATCATCTACTTCAGTGATATCACCCTCATTTGAAGAAGCATCATTTTCTTTGTCACTACAAATATCATTTTGTGATATGTGCTTCATATTTTTTTCTGTTTGTCTTATTTTATGTTTAGTTGTCGGACTTGGCAACTCATATGACTTGTGCCCTAAATCTGTCACCACTTTATATGGCCTTTAAACTCCTGTCTCAACTTTGTAGAATGTCTTTCATTAATTTTCAGTAAGCATAAATCGTTTGCAGTAAATGATTTCGTAAGCCGTCTGCTTTTGTTATCGAATCTATTTTTTTTTTGTATATCGCATTCTGTTTAATGTTACTGTCGGCCTTATCGCGTATAGTATCTAAATTTAATTTTTCTGTGTCATGTATAGTGATTTTGTTTATTGTAGGTAAATTTATCTGTCGTCCAAACAATAATTTGGATGGAGAATATTTTGTAACTCTATGTTGCGTACTGTTTATGATCAATTGAACATCAACAAGTCCATCTTGCCAACGTTCATCACAGCTAGTTTCAGCTACTGACAATAAATTTTTTAACAAGCTCATCACCCTTTCAACTTGGCCATTCGCGCTACTATTACCTGTTGCTATAAAATGTAATTCAATATGATTCTCTTCACAATAATCGCGAAATTTTCCCCCAGAAAAAGAAGTTTCCTGATCTGTAATAATGCGGTTAGGTGTACCAAAAATGGATATTGTGATTTTAAGAAACGCAACAGCTGCTTCAACTGTAAGAGTGGAGGTTCTGTATAGCAAAGTAAATTTAGTGAAAGCATCTACAAGGACAAATGCATATTCTTTTAAATCACTTTTGCCAGTTAATTTACCAGTCGCATCAATATGAATTGTATGCCAAGGCAATGCAACTTTCGGAATAGGATGCAACGGTAATTCGTTAGGACCAGTTTTATTCTTAGTAGTTGCACAAATCAAACATTTATTTATAAATTGCCGCGTTCTTTTCGACATTTTTGGAAACCAGTGCAATTGATACAGTTTACTCAAAGTTTTTTCATACCCAACATGCATTAAGGAAACATGTACATGATTTATTAGTGACCACGCTAAACTCTTTGGTATGATAGGAAGCCAAATATTTCGTTTATTACGTTGCACTTTGCGATATAAAATACTATTTCGTATATCATATGTTTGTTTTAATTTAGACGGACCATCATTACCTTGAATATCTGATATTTTCATAATTTCCGGATCACTCTTTTGTTCAGCAACTAACCAATCTTTCGAAAGGGAAGCAAAATTTATGATGACGTAAAAGCTAGATCCGAGCTAGTGCTTTTTCTTTTTCTTTCTCTTTCGCTCCCGTTGGCCGACTGCATGGTACCCGTGAAATTAAAACTCCTGAATTGGATTGTACAAACAGCATAGAAATCTTAGGATTTGGGCGGAGCACACGGACACCTTAGTCAACCTAGAAGTCTAGCCAATTAAAATTCATTATCGCTAGGACTGCACTCTGTATCGGCACCTCCGAGAATGCAGCGCAAGCATTTTTGTAGACTTCGAACCGAGTTGCGCACGAAACAGCGAAGTCAAAATCACTTCTCATCGTACAGTCGCATCGAGCGCGAGCAAGTCCGAGCGAATTATTTAGAGCAGAGTTGTTTTACCGGTTAAATTCATTGTGAAATGTGAGTGGTAGGCAGAGACTCAATTCCTCGTTAAACAACCTAATTTCATTCTTGAATTGTTCTTAATTACTAAATTTTATTTAAAATATTTTAATTTTAAATCAATTGTTTTTTGCAAGTATTAATAGTCGTTTATTACATAAATCATAATTTTTCCCGCGCGCGCGCGCGCGCGCGTGTGTGTGTGTGTGTGTGTGTGTGTGCGCGCTTCTACCTCGTTCAGGATATTCGACGACCAACATCCGTGCGATTCAATACACCGATAAATCCGTACGAAAAACTTAGTGGTGAGTTGTTTCTTTCCAAGCGCAATATTTTCCAAAGTTGTGATCATCGGGGGTAACTGATAAATATTTCATCATTTCCGGGGGAACCCTAATTAATTATCCCCGATGAATAGTATGTTTCCCGACAATATGTAATATATATATTTACAACCACAAAGGAATGAAAGAAAGAGCATAATTTAACGCAGAAATAAGAATCTTGTATCTCAACATATTTGTTATAATCTAAATCATAATAAATTAAATTCAGCAGTGTTATTTCAATAGTAAAAACGTTTCCAAAATTTAATGTACCTCTTCAATCCTAATTGGCTATCCTACTATCACGAAAGATTCACATACGAGTCAGAGCCTGTACGGGACTGTTGCGACAAAGACCTGACCTTGTCGATAGGCAAGTAAAATATCATATATATAATATTGTTTAAGTTAATTAACCCATTAACTTTCAATAATTACAATAAAAAAATAAAATTAAAAACTGTGACGCGGGAATCTCGTCCCACGTCACACTCCTAATGCTTTTTCAATAGCACGCTGATACACAGGTAGGGAGTTTTTTAAACAAAATGGCATTGTCAAATATTTATATTGCCCATCTGGAGGGCGAATGCCGTTTTTTCTATCGATTCGTTTGTTATTGGAATTTGATGAAATCCTGAAGCCGTATCAAGTATTGCAAAACGACATGCAACATTTAAATTATTGATCAAATCACTTATTAACGGTAACGGATACTTGTCAGGTATTGTGTTTGCATTAAGAGCTCTATAATCTATACATAATCGCTTAGAACCATTTTTCTTGTCAACTAAAACCACAGGGCTAGCAAAAGGTGAATTACTTTCCCGAATAATGTTGTTTTTTAGAAGATCTGCTATTTTCGTTCGAACTATTTCTCTTTCTGGTGGAGCTAAGTGTCGTGGCTTTGAATGAACATATTTGTTAGGATCAATCAATCTAATATCCAATAATGCCATCTTAACTCGTCTCTTAGGTGTTCCCAAAAATTCTTTAAATTTGTTTAGTACTACGCGTAATTTCATTAAATCGTCTTCGTTTGTCAAGTCTGTAATGATTTTATCAAAATTTACATTTAAATTTGCTGACATTTTTTTTCGAGTAAATTCAAATTCCGTCGAGTCAATCATTACAGATAATGTGTGATTGTCTTGAAATATGTCTTTTCCATAATATGATTTTAATTCCAAAAAGGAAAACCTCGCTTTTAATTTTTAAATGGCTAAATATGACATTATTAGAAATACCCTTTAATGCCACAGTTTCGTTTACTTTTTCGCAAATATCACGCTCAAATAGCTCGTTAATAGAATTGTTGTAATCTTACCTCGCTTAATGTGTAAAGAATACAAATAAATTAAACATATAGAATTCTTGTTTTACTGTTTATTAAAAGGAAAAAAAAGCAAAGAAAGAATAATGCAGTTTATAGAAGAAAATTTAGCCAAACAGAATAAAACAGACCACACATAGTGCAGACCACTATTTTACAATGCAGAACAACAGAGGAAAAACAAAAAAACAAAAGAATATCGCGCATCCATCTGCGCATAAGTGCGATTCTTACCACATTAAAAATAATTACATTTCATCAAGAATGGTATCTTACCAATGAACAATCTGAATCAGTATCAAATATAAATGAATGATCTTACCAGATTCAAAGGCGACGTGGTTCATAGCAATTTTGTTGCAAAGGCTGACTGATTTTGTAGCTTTGGCAATTTTCTTGGGACATTCAGTTGAAATATGTCCATTTTCGTTACAATTGCAGCATTTAACGATATTCCTGCTATGATTTTCTCCTTTGTTCCCACTTAGTTGAACCTGGTCCTTAGCATGGAAGCTAATCTATATTTTGATGAAATTATATTTTTCCATCTGCACTCCTCTTGGCGATGTACCAATTTTCCACAATTATTACAGTATCCACGAAATCTTTTTGCCTCGTAAATATTATCCTCAGCAACTTTTCGTTTTTGGATCTTGGTTTGTGTCACGTGTCGAGCATCTAGTAGTATTAGCTTACTTGTTAGCTGATCTTTTGTTGGAAGTTTCCTTTCAGATGTCCCTTCAACAGATATCAGAGGTGCCTGCAATGATGGTCTCCATAATTGCAGTGCCAATAGACAAATTATCTGGCCAATATCTTTATGCGGCTGTTGTGATACTTCGTTCATAAAGGGCTCCAATGCTTTGTAAGTATCAATGTTTGAAGTGCAATTTGCTAATTTTTGACACATAGATACAATAGAGTGATTGTATCAATACCAAATTTATCAATTAAAGCAGCCCTCAAAGTTGACCATTGTTCTACGTCATTCGCAGATGTTAAATGATTTGTTCTTTCGATATACCATTAAGCAGCCTTTCCCACAAAAAGTCTGTCGTAAATGTAAAGAAGCTCCTCCTTCTCAACAGAATTAATTTTCAACCATCTATCTACATATTTACACCAAATATTTAAAGATATACTTCCTGTTTTCGGATCAAATGGCTTCGGTAACCTTTCTAAGCGATTTTCGAACAAATTTCTGCTTGCTACTGCTGATTTGGCAGTAGAAATAGATGCTTCATTATTACGATGCAATAAGCTGGATAATTGTGTAATCAAAATATTTGGGTCTACCAGTTTTTCAGCATCGAAAACAACATCACTCGCTTTAGGGATTTCTTCTTGCGCACTCATCGTAAAACTGTTCGTGTCCCACTTCTGATTTCGTAAAGAGTAATCGAATACAGATAATTCGCTTGTATTTCGTAAAGATTAATTGAATACAAATAATCTAGTGACGCGGTAGCGTCTCGGCGCCAAGTACATGAAAAATTACCCGTCACCGCGTATACACCTGGCGTTGGAGCTACCACGTATTTTTTACAGGAGAGATGGTCCATTCCAACCTAACTTGAAACTTCTTTCATTAATATCTCATCACGCCTGCAATATATTCTATTACATTAACAATATATTTTTCTGATGTAAATCGCATATAAGCTTTCGAATAAAACCAAAATCAATAAAATCGGTCCACGTACAACTGACATATCGTAATATCATGTCATGAATCTGTCAGAAACAGTATTTTTCGTATGATTTTCCCGTCGTCAACCCTTAGCCAATAGGAGCTAAGCAAAAGCCGAGTGTCGTTCGTCAACTCTCGGAATCATTCGGTTCGGCATGACTCGTCGGCCATCGAGCGTCGAGAGTCGAAACAGATGTCATCATTCATAACCTGCCAAGTGTCAAAAGTTTTTGCACTATTGCATTATTAATTATATTTATATCAGCAAAATGTTTTCAATTCAGGTCTTTTATGTAAGGTTTAATAACAAATTGCAACCAGTGTTGTAAAGTGTTGATAATCTTGACTACAAGGTAAGTGGTCAAAATCTGAATTGTCACCTACCTTGCGAGTCACGTACCTTCATTCATACAGAATAGATCCATACCACTAAAGTGTTTTTAATTTAGACTTTTTATGTAGAGCTTATAGAAATGGAGTCATTTTCTGATTTCATCATTAACATTAAAATTTCTTGCAGCAAAAAAAAAATTGCAGGTATATATAATTATTTATAAATTGAACGAATGTGTTTATAATGAATAAATTATAAGAAATATATATATTCGCATTTGTTATCTCCCCTCCCTTTATTTTACTCTATCCAATTAAAAAAACAAATAATAACTTAGACTTCTTATGTAGAGTTACAGAAATATCAATTTTATTTTTATAAACTTAAAATAGATTCTATATAATAAATGATTTATAAAAAGAGGTGAGATCGACAAAAAACGTCAGAAAAGTAAAAAGATTACCCCAAGTACATGAAAAAGTGGAAGACTCAAGGAGTTATCATTAAAAAACAGAAGATCCCCATAAAAAAAACTACAAGAAAATAGAAAAAGATGTGAAATCGAAATGAGCTGCCAGATGATTTGCCTAGATGTCCGCGGCATGGAAGTCAAATGCTTGGCGTGGCCATGCAAGGTCATGTCGATGAATAAGAATTATTTTAAAACGCAAAATAATGAAAGTGTACTCATATTGTCAGAGTTTTAAACTGACAAATTATCTGAAAGCTTGCGAGAGTAAAGGTATTGACGTTGACGAGTGACCTTAGACATAATTTAAAACACAATACAATGAAAATGTACTCATATCGTAAGAGTTTTAAATTGATAAATTATGTGAAAGTTGCGGGAGAGAAAGTATAGGTCTTGATGATCTGAGAATGTCTTGCCTGGCCACGCCAAGCATTTGACTTCCAGGCCATGGACATCTAGGCAAATTCCTACCTATTCTACTTTTAATAACGTATGATTTACTAAATAAATACTTTCAATATCTAAACAATATTCTTTCATCTTTACACTAAAACAGTTAAAGGATTTGATCAAATCATACTATTTCATCTTTTTGCAAAAACAGTTAAGGGATTTGATCAAATCACTTACTTTCTTTAGGGATATGACCTTACGGAGTTGTTATTTTAACATCTCCCGTGAATTGATCATCTACCTTAGGGATTTGATGAAATCTCTATTTTTATCATTTTCCTGCGACATATACACAGACTTCTTTTTTTTTTAATTGAAGAAAGGAAAAGAAAAGGAGAGTGGGTATATATATATTTCATATGACATTAATTTATTAATTACAAACATTTATTCATTCAATTCATGAATTAATACAAATACCAGCAAATTTGTTATGCACACTGCTCATCATCATCTTATGCTTCAATTTATCTGTAACACATACAAACCATATTTTAGTTTCAAATTAACGCAGAACTTAAAATAAAAATAGAAATCATAATTTTCATACAAACATTATGTATAGCTCACTTAATTCCTTCCGTTGCACACTCTGTCAGATCGTAGTATATTTCAACCGACCAATTTCACTATACCTGTCAAACTTTATCGTATTACCTGTAATAATTGCACGATTCTTCTTGTGGTATTCTAATAATTACTACCAAATATCCTTCCTTCAGATAAAATACTAGAATTTCGCAGCAGCAGCTCCCATTTTTGAAGAGCACCAAACTATTGTTGCTTTGTCAGCAAATTATTTACTTCATGAAATAAGCAATTCATCCTTTAGTTTCCTCTTATTGGAATGAATGTAGCTGCTTAGATCAATCAAAGACTATGCAAACAGAAAACGCACAAGAATTTGCAATGATAGGCACATATACTTTAAGCACACAAAACTACTTATCAAATAATGGTAAACACTATCTACTTTTAATTGTGGATTTTACTTACTCTTTTATTGATGATGTTTATGCTCCTCTTCTTGTTGTGAAATATAATAAAATATGTCGCACTGCTAATACTACTATTATAGTTTTACTGCGTGCACACACGTATTACAAAGCAACATTACTGTCTCTTGTGCATTATTTCTTGCAGTATCTGGTGAAATTTTTTTCTTCTGTTTTAATAATCTACATCCAGCTATTCTTCACTATAACCTATATTTGTCAAACGATATACACAAGTATTTCTTATGGCGGCCGACGAGCCTTGCTGACTGATTCAGAGAGTCGACGAATCGACGAACGACATTGTCTCCTATTGGCTAAGTGTTGACGAAAAACGACTGGAAAAGTAAAGACGGTAATATTTTTGGATGTATCGTGACATGATATTACGATATCGCTATTGTACGCGTACCGATTTGATTGATTTTGGTTTTATTCGAAAGCTTATATGCGATTTACATCAGAAAAATGCGTTTCAATTTAGAAAATATTGCAGGCGTGATGAGATATTAATGAAAGAAGTTTCAAGTTAGGTTAGAATGGAACATCTCTTCCATAAAAGATAACGGTAGCGCCACGTTATACAGGGTGGCTGTATAATTTTTCATAAATTAGCGTTGAGACGTTACCGCGTCTCTAGATGATACTCTGCTCATGAGGAGAGGTATATATTGGAAAACTAGAGGGAATATAACCACTAATTCAATGAACACCGATGTTTGCATCAAATTGAGATACTTTTTTATATAGCCGAAGCTGTAACCAGAACTCTATAACAGTGGTTAGTTATTATAATACTTTTCAACGTTAGTCAAAATCCATTATTCGATATTAATAGTTGTGATTGTAACATTTAATTTTGTAATTATTCACTGAATAGTTCAACAACACGTCGATAATTTCATTGACACTTTCTATCCTCAAAAATGTGGAGATGGCAATCATTTTGGACACTTTTTAAAATAGATGTTTTACATTGGAGTATTAAAGCATTAATTTATCTCTCACGAACAAGTATTAGAAATAATGATACACGTTTTCTGATTTCTTTGTTTAGTATTAAGTGAAGGTCAACATATTTTATGATTAACATAATTTGTCCTTTTATAAACTCCAAGATTGTAATAATAACAATATGTCAATCTACTAAAAAAAATATCGATGTAGTCACGGTATTTGCTCCTTTGGATTGATAATTATTCGCCTAACACATTTTCGTATCGCCAAAAACAACTGAAATATTTTAGATGGTCAAATGAAGTAGAACTTCCTGTATACTTCAAGAACTATATGTAAAACACGTAATACATGTACCATATGCAAAATATAAAGAAAAAGAAACATATTTATCATTTTTGAATGATACGATTTTATGTACATGCCCATAAATATTTGCAATGTAATGGTAACAGATGAACGCGTTGATAGAAACATAATAATGTCTTTTATATACATATACTCGAATTATACAGGGTGTTTACGTATAGGTCCGGACATACGCAGGGTATCAACTCTACAACAAATTTCCAACAAAAAATTACTCTTAGACAGTTTCTTTGTGTCGCCTTATTCTCGAGTATTTTCACTTTTAATTTTTCTTCTGTGTTTTCCACTTGACACTCTTTAAACGGCCATAACTCC